ACCTACAAGCCGGAGCCTCATAAAAATTGAAATAATACCTGGGAAATTGAAAGTTAAGTAGTATAATTAAATTAATATTAAAAATGAAACGCTGTATCTGTATCTATGATTGTAGGACATGTCGAAATATTATAGATTCAATTTTTGCAATTTTCTAGAAAATAAAATAAGTAACTCAAACGACTTTAATACTTTTTAGAATTCAAACAAAATCATAAAAATTTTGTACTATTTAATTTAACTATAGATACATATAAATAACGCTGTATAAATTAATGTTGTTCGATGGTGATAACTGATAAATAAGCCAAGCACACTAGCTACCACTGTTTAAGCAGTGCCTTTCCTGATAATATTTTTAATTATTCATCATTCCTTGTGTATTGAATTTCGTTCCTGTTGCAAAAATGAAAATAAGTCACGAACAAACATTCGATTTTGTTTATATTTAGTTATGATCAAGGACATACATCTAATAGAATGATTTTATTTGTCGCAGAATATATTCATTAAAAAAAAATTTTAAAGTTCCTTCAACAAGAGCAGACTTCTGATAACTGAATTAAGAATTTTTATTAGAAAACATTTATGTATTTTTAGTTGTGAACGTATATGTAAACAATTCACATTTCATAGAAATATTAGGGTGGTTCCAACCCTAGATCTCATAAATAAGGGGGTGTCGTTTTACTAATACTTTTAATAAAAAAAAATTAAATGATACTGAAAATTAAACAGCTAATAATAATGGTGGTACGCAAAAATAAAAAGTTTATCACGTACCTAGCTACTAACAAATTCTTACTTATAGTATAGGTATTTTTCATTTTTTAATGTTCCTTTAAAAGCAGTAGCCTGGCTGACATAAAAAGAATATTTATATTTATATAATGATGGACATAAACTACAAGCTATAACTACAGCAACTTGATCAAATTTTTCATCAAAAGTTGTAACAGCTTTTTGGTTCACAACAACCTCTCCCCAAGTACATAGGTACCTATTACCAATAAGGTACTTACTACCAATAGGTACCTACTTAAGTATACATTGTATAAGAAGGAAATCAGGAATTAAAAAGATATGGAATAAATATTGTGACAAAGTGGTTATATCTTCTCTTCCAAACATGTATTTAATTGAGCCTTCCATTATTTTTTGAAATAGGTACCTATACGTAGAGGTACCCATCCATCTCATTTAATCATTACTGCTTTTTATGACTAATACGATAATAGGAATAACTTTTTAATCTTGCTTATGTTTTAATTGCTTGAGATAAAATAGCACAGTGGGTGTTTCTAAATTAAAATTCTAAAGATGCTGTAGATGCCCGCATTTTTTTTTTTTAAACATAAGCAAAAATGTAATATTTATTCCATAAGCATGAAATTATTTTATCGAAGCACATTGCGTGTAATTTTATGGTCCACCATTAGGGCTAAAGTAAATAAAATTTTATATCAAAATCAACAGTAAAATCCCAAAATTTCGGTAAACGTTTAGAAATCTAAAACGCGTTTTTTTTTTGAGAAAAAAGAATTACGGAAATGGTAAATTATTAGACATATATAATTTTTAGGTACCTACTGCACTTCGTAAACTTCCACCAAAACATGGTAAATCAGAATTTCGGGTACAAAAATACTATAGGAAATATGGGAATAAAAAATATATACACATATTGTGTAACATAAGTTTCTAACTTGCAAATATGTAGGTGAGATGTTGATTCGAAGTGTTTCACAGCGATGGAATAAAAATTAAGTACAAGGTAGAACAAAGAAGATAGAACGGACTGCTGTTGATAATGATGATGATGATGATGATGGTTTGTTTGACCGCTCTGTGTTGCGATGTTTCTCTTCTACAACAGTTCAAGGGCAGTCAAGAAACCAAGATCGTGATTCACGGTTTCAAAAATCAAATTCGTTCTGCCGTCCACATTTACCATCAACTTACAACTAACTGGATCCAATAAAGCGGGAGATATGTTTTAGATCTCTTGCATGTATTTAACATCAATAAATCGTTTACTATAAACAACCGTTGACAAAAAGTTAAGTTAAATTTTGCAGGGACATTGACCATTGACGTGTGTTAACAATTTTAATTGATAGATTTAATAAGCTACAAAAACTGTACGGACAAACATTTAACTTAAATTTATTAATGTTTTCGTAATTTAAAATTAAACATTTGAAATAGCTAGGTAAGTTGTAGGTATAAAGTATAATCCCTTTTATATATATCAGTTGCTTCAATAAATCAAAAATATAATCAAATACATTGTTAGAATTTTACACTCCTTTTGATTGATAGTTTAAAATTATGATTTAATGTTTCTATCTCCTTTAGAAAATATCCGCAATTGTAACGGTTATTTAAAGTATAATAGCTTACCTATACGTTTGTATAAGGTTACTGTTCAATGTGAAATTAAGTTCTAACACCAGGTCAATGGCGGGAAAGTTTTATATGGCTTATCTTGACAACAGTTTTATTTCTGCAAAAGTGTAACGGTGTATTTCGGAGAAAGGTCTTACGCTTTTGATGAGTGTGGATCTAGTCATGAAATGAAAGAACATGCACCAAACCCTCACCCACTTAAAGCAAAAACACAAAATGTGACCGGAGAAAAACCCGCGTTAATACATCGCAATATTAATTTAAACGATATCGATAAACTACAACATCAACAACCACTAACTGCACGTACTAATTTCAGAATAACTTCCCGATTTTCAACATCCCATCTTAGTAAACGAACAATTTTTTTAAAGTTCGCCACCTACTACTGGTGGAGGGGATATCATTCTCCGGTCACTTGACCAATAAAAAAGGATCTTTGCTTTAAGTGGGGGTAAGATTGCTAATAACGCTATTTTTCTCCAACGTTGCCAAAATAGTAAACTAAATTGTATTAAAAAACGAATAATAATTTCAATTAATATTATCAATTATAACCTAATCTATAATAATAACGGTATAATTTTCGAGCGATGCACAAATTTCACGCGAATATAGATGAGAATTTTATCAAATACACTTTAATTAACTTAATTAATTAGATAATTTTGTAACAAATATTTAATATTTCTATATTTATAAATGAAATTTAACATACATCAGGAAATAATTTCTTTATAATCTTATACATGATACTTTTGGGGACTGAAATAAATTAAATATGAGTACGTTTGTTATCTTACCGAAAGCGTTTATATCGTTAAATTAAATTCTTTTATTTTTTTTTAAAGAAAACAAGTTACCTAGTCAGATAGTTGTCGTTTTAGTAACGGAATAAACAATTTTTAATAAATACAATTTGAAATCCCTAATTACTTTTTGATGGAAAAAATACGCAAGCGCAAGCGCTAGTTTCTCCTTTATCAAGTGCTGTCAAATGTCAGAGGTCGGATTGTCACAATTTCCTGTCATATCAAGATATTAAGCTATATTTTTGGCATATAAAGTTGTTTTGGAAACATCAAGGTACAAAATAAACCCCTACGTTCACGAAAAACCCTTCAGCAACAGTATGTATCAAAGTAAGTAGTATGCAATGCGAAGGCGTTACTAGCGAAAAAGAATGGCTGCTAGTCTAGATATTTTAGCTCGAATGTAACTTATAACCTATCATAAGCTAGAAAATTACTCAATTTCGTTGTTTATTTAAGGAATATTTATCATTAATGTAATATTATTGGAGTTTATAGAGCAGTAGAAGCTATTTTTTTGTTTTAGGTACCTATTTTATATATACGCTTTAAGGATTTGTTTGTGTATTTACATTTTTCGACGCCTGTAGAAATATGTACGAGTTATACTTTCAACTGTGATATAATCTTCAGTTTTTATTAGTAATTACTTTAAAAAACGTACTATTATGGCTGGTGTGCATCAAGAAATAGGTGAGTTTTTCGTTTTTTTTTTTTATAGAAAACCTGTGATTGTTTTATTCATTTGTTACATTTTTTCCTGTGAATAATATCTAAGGTGCTTTTGAAACCTCTTACTACTATGTATTTTTTGATGTTATGAAATTTACGCCTATTTATTTATTAGATTTTTGAAAAATATTGCCTCTAGTTTGTTGTGACCTTATTTAATATCTATGTACACTATATGCAAAATAGACAGTAATTTTTATAATAAAAGTACCTAGTAACTATTCTGTTATGTATAATATAATTGTTATTTGTGTGTTTATTTCGATTTTTGAAATTCAGTGAAAAAGATCCACTTTTAAGAAGTTTTATTTAAAAATTTAAACGTGTATGAGAATAAGCATAATTATTCATTTTAATTGTGTTATTGTAAGTACTAATGATAGTATATTTTTTGAAGTGGATGCTGGTGAATACCAAACTGATAGTAGTGCTGAAGAGAACGAATATGCATCTGAGCATGAAATAGAAAATGATAGTTTGGTTCAGTACATCGATGTCCCCTACACAAACCCTGTGGAAAGCACCAGAAGAAGAGGTCGTGGTCATTTACCAAAAGACTCTGTGAAAATTTTAAAGAATTGGTTATATGAACATAGGTTCAATGCATACCCTAGTGAAACTGAGAAGATTATTCTTTCACAAGAGACAAATCTCACAGTGTTACAAGTCAGTAATTGGTTCATAAATGCGAGGCGAAGATATTTACCAGAGATGATGCGTAGAGAAGGGTATGATCCTGATTTGTTTACCAATAGTAGAAGAGGCAAGAAACAAAGAGCTACCAGGATTTCTCATAGAGACAGAAAGCACATTCGATTGGAGCATTCTTATAACCATGGACAAATGGTTGATTCTGAAGATGAAAATTATGAAAGTACCAGTCCAAAGGAGGAGAAATTTAATCCATGGCGAACTGATATTCACTATGGATTAACAATAGATGCTGCTCATCCAGCAAACAGAAGGTTAGTCTTTTATTAGGAATTGTTAGATACTCATTAATTAAATAAAAAAAAACCTGTCTTTAACAGAAATCAACTAAAGAAATTGTCTTGGTTTTTTTTTTTTAAATTCGGTATCAAATTGTGATAAAACTAATAAATATTTTTCAGATCGGATAACACGTTGGAAGAACAATCAGAAGATATAAGCAACAGTAATTCTTCCATTAGCAACATGCCACCTAGTTTTATAGTTGTCAAGAGTGCGTCAGGAAAAAACGTGGTTTTAAAAGTAGTCCCCCACATGATTACAGACAACATTGAGGTATGATGTACTTACAGGTTTTATTTGGCTTCTTAAATGTTATTTTTAATACAACTTTGGAGTAGTTTGAATTTATTTAAAGTACTAATTAGTTATTATGTCTAACTATGAAAAAATTGAAAATTCCTACATATGTACCCTTTCAGGGTATAGAGAAGACACTGTTGGCGAAAAACAAATCCATCTTTGTTGAAGACGCGACCCATAGCGGCGCAATAAAATTTGAAGGGATAAACGATAATGTTTTGGAGGAGTCGTTAGTGGAAAAAGAAATACGAATAATTAAATCGGACGACAACGATAACACTAACGAAATATCTGACGAGACATTTTTAAGTGAAAATTTGTTTGATAACGGCATCGTAGCGAGATCGTTCGAGGAAGACGAGGGTTTTGTTAACGAGATAACGATAGAGGACTGTGGCACAGTGGAAGTTGCCGAGACCACGGTGGTCGATTGCGTAAAACACGAAGAACTTCTGGATGGCGATGTCGCGAACTGCATTGAGATCAAAGACGAAAATAGTAACTAACGTTACTCAAACGAATAGGTCAGTCAAATCAGTTGCTTTTTCAAAAATGATAAATTGCAAATTCACTCCGAGGGCCTTATGCAAATTAATAAAAAAAAATTACCTCTATTATCGCCTTTCTTAATTTTAAACTTAGGTAATCAATTTATTCCTGTGAATAAAAACATTTTAATATTTGTATTAAATCTTCCATTTTTATTAACTTATTAAATGGGATTAGATAATTATGTATCTTGTACTTTTTTAATACAATTTTAACACCATAAATTAGCAAGAGTTATTTATAACAAAACTTGAAAAAAATTAAAAATGAATCATAAATGATTCTTGTGGGATAAAAAATTAAACCTATTGTAAAAAATAAAGTTACCTTTGTATTATAAGTTTTTATTCCCATCATTAACTTTTTATTAATTTGCATAAATAACACGTTGTATGCAAATTAACTTGATTTTTTTAATAAATCACTTTTTTGATTTCTATCAGTCTAATTTGATTGACCTAGTTTAACGTTGTAAATATTATTAAAAAAACTATGGACTGTTTGAGCGTTTCTTAAAGTTTACGTCTCCTTGTCGTTTTATATTTATTATAATAAATTATGATAGTGTGCTAGCTTATCGGCGCACCGGTCCCTCCTATACATAATATTCTGTGCATTAGTTATAATGTATGTATATACGTTGTAGAACAATTGTATTTGTACATTTATGGGAATAATAATGAAGTTATTTTTTTTAGTAAGTTTATTTAGATTTTTGTGCACAAACACACGATTGTTTCCCACCAATCTGCTAGTAAATTTTCTGCCAATATTATGTACTATTTATTTGCATTAACCTACATCATTTTTCACAATGTGTCTTAAAAAATAGCCGCTGAAAACATTAAAGTGTACCGAAATATTTTGTATAATTGAGTTTTGATTATATACTTTTTTTTTAAATATGTTATATTAAAATTTTCTAAGAACGTTGTTCTTGCATTAATTGGTTTGTGTTCCTGCTAGGTATTTGAGATGCGTCGTCGATTCATTTATTAGACAAGTTGAAATACCCTACTATTGGTAAGACTTACCTAACGCTTGAAACACTTTAGTAGCAGCAAATACTCACTAGATGGCAATATACTGTTTGGATTGAGATATTAAAATTTTCTATTGCATTTATAAATTGTGGAAATTCATATGGAGGGGGTATGATAGAATACATTATGAGGTGTGGAAAACTATATAAACCTTTGCTAGGAGCAAAAACAGGAGAAAATAGGGGAAAGACTAGATAAGATTAATGCTGGCAAATGGTTAAGGTTGAGGGATATTCTACTTTTCGGGAAATACTTAGGTTGATTCACGTTTGAAAAAAATGAAGGTGCTTGTCCATGTAAAGTCTAAGCATACGATCTGCGTTACCTACGTAAATTAAAGAATACATTTAAATTAAAACGTTCGAAAACAGTGGCAAAAAATACAAAGGACAACTTGAAATGCTAGTGGAATATCATGTACATCAATAAAATTTATTGACTTTACAAACAACAATCATATGTAGCTATCACAGGTACTCACAAGAGAAACAGTTTGAGCGTAAATATTAACAAAATATTGATCATACAATTGTTACTACTTAGTGGCTGTTGGAACAGAAGAGATATATAAAAATATACCTTGATAGGGTATATATATCATTAAAATGATAGAAAACGTACAAAACTGATCTTAATTTCTACAATATTCGGTATAACATTAGTACGAAGGGAACTAAATGTATATTATTAATTGAAAGTGGGAAATTTTCCTACACACCTAGATGACATTTACGAATGTTAGAAACCTTTTGCAGAAGAGAAGAAAAACAAAATTTCTTTGCTTTACTGATAAGCACGAAAATTATAATATAATGTAGTCTATTACAGAGCCTCTTGTGCAAAAGGGAAAGTTTAAAGTTAAGAATTATTTAATTCTATCAGCTGTATTACATTTTATTGCCACTTCTATTATACATTACCTACGTGATGGCAATCGTGAAAACAATAAATGAATTTTAAGTCTGTGTAACAGTGGAAGGATGACCAAGGAAATTCATTTATACATTATTTATGTTAGTATATTATACACGGTTTTTTGTTTTCAAAATTAACGATAAGTAAAATTTCTTTTATTATGATTAGGCACATAAATCTTTTTATTTTTTGCTAAGTTTCAACTGTATAAACAAAATTTTCTATTTAAAAATAAATTATTGTATAATTTTGTCTTAAAGACAAATTTATTTCATAACATAATATACAAATAAATAATCAATTGAAATAAAATAAGTAGAAAAAGAAACAAAATAAATAAAACCTTTTCTTTTCCACCTAAACGCAAAAATAATTATTAAGGCAAGATAAGTACACAATGTGTTTGAAGGTGAAGGTCTTATAATACAAAGAGTATTTAATTATTTATTTAAGTACATAAAACCAATTTTAAATCTGCGTTGCATCATAAAAATAGCTTCTTAAATATTGCGGTCCAATTTTGTGAAATGCTCCTTCTACTATAAGCTCACATTGACAGTAGTAGCAGTGTATTTGAAATTACAAAAAATCGACGGTTTTTTGATAATGGAAATTTTAACCACGTTGCAGTATTTTTACGTGTATTATATCTTTGGCAGTAAATACTTAATGGTGTAATACTGATTTTCAACTAATGCTAATTATAAACTTTTATAAAACTATACAACTAAATATAAACATACAACCAGCTGAAAGTAATGCAGCAACTGGTACTGTCACTAACCAGGCGTATATTATATTTCTGTAAAGCAAAAAAACATTTTACACACCTATATTCTTTACAAGGAATAAACTAATGACAAAAATCCTATTAACAAACGAAACGGCAAGAACAATTAACATAAAACTGTCTATGTGACAAAAGTATTAGGAATGTTACCTGAACAATTTCCAATCGACTCCTTTTCTAGATGTATTAAAGTATCCAACAAAAACAACACTGCCCACTTTACAGTGGGTTGTAGAGATGGGTAATCCTATTTTACTTGCCAATAATACCGTAAATGCCGCCCCTACTTCAATGGTGAAACCCCTTCGGTAGAAATACATAAATTAGCAATTATATTGTGAGGGACTGAAAAAGAAGTCATTCACTCACGTTGAAGCCGTAATTTTGGTTAAATCTTCGCCTATAGTTTGGATTACCCGCCTTCCCCAAACCCACAAACCGATCGAGATTCCGGCCCCTCCAAATAACAATATAAATAAAGGTGTTTCAGACTTTTGCTGTACTGACCCTTCAGTAAAAATTAACCAAAGTGCAATTAATGGTCCGATGGCGTTACTAAAAGTGATAAGAAGCATACAAAATGTTCTTGTTCAAACAGTATTGTGATTCAAATTAGCTATTACTGACCTCACATCATTTCCCCCGTGCGCGAAACTTCCAAACGAAGCAGTTAATATTTGCAAAAAACTAAATAATCTAGACACATTTTCGTTTTCCAATTCTTCCATGTCACTTTCCTGTACTGTAAAAGAACATTCATCTTTGCTTTTGTCAGATCTCGCAAAACTTTTATTTTTAATTAAAGGAACGGCACTAGAATTAGGAGAGAGTGCTGGATTAACCTCCCCCGAAAGAGTTATCGTACTTTTACTGGGCATTAATTCAACAACAGCATCTTTCGACTTGAGTTCATTTGCAGCCGTATATCCATTTTTACCTTCATCGGGGGGTGAAGGGAAGGTGTATTTGGTTGCGGACTTATTACTACTACTATCTATTTGTAACATTTCCGTATTTTCGGCAATCACAGTCAGTTGGCGATCATGAATCTGCGAATTACGTTTCGAAGCCCGTGGACTACCCTCAGGAGAAGTATCTATAAAATTTGCATTGGTTTTCTTTGTATAATAACTTTTCCATATTTAAATGTACCTGATGATTCTCCGATGTTAAAGTCAATTCCTGTGGGATGTTTACAAGCGCTCAATTTGAGACGCTTTCTTTGCCAGGGCACAACAACCACTTGTATAATAATCATAGTAACAATGCCCAAGACAATACTTATCACAGCAGCTAACCACAATGGAATTCCATCCATGTGTAATAATTTAGGACCATCATGTACAATAGAAAACACGTTTAAAAATACCGTAAAACCGTAGAACAATGGCAAACCTATCAAGCCAGCTTTAAACGGATCTGGCCGTCTCAAAATTCCGTATCTTATAATTAATAATAGTATCACGGAGGTCAAACCACTTAGCATGGGCGAGATGAACCAAGAAATCACTGAAAGTGTTTTAATAGTCTTATCCTTGTTTCGAGTTTAAACTCAAAAAAATATACACATCAAAATAGATGTTTTATTGACTGAGTTTTTTAGTCGAAAATATTTCTATTTTTATATTTAGCTGCTCCTTCAGTCTTACCTATCATTCCAAGGGTATACCAATGTAAACCCGAAAAGCCACGGGCCACTAAACTAAAACCAACAGTAGCCCCAACAATACTATGGGTGCCTGATATAGGCATTTTTAAGAACGTTGCAACAATCAGCCAAACAGCACTTCCAGTTAAAGTGCTTAAACATCCTAACATAAGCTCAGTTTCAGAGTCTTCATAAACATGAACGTCTAAAATTCCTTTTCGCATAGTATCAGATACTTTGTAACCTGAAATACACATGACTGACGGTATTTTCCATATCATAAATACAATGCCATATCAATTACCGATAAGCACAGACCCAGCAATTTCGAAAACAGTTGCCATACAGCAAGCCTGAAATAGGGTGAGGACTTTGGATCCAACACTGGTTCCAAACGAATTTGCGACATCGTTTGCTCCTATTCCGAATGCGAGAACAAAGGAAATAATGAAACCTAAGACTATAAGCCAAATAAGATTGGAAGAATACGCTTCCAGCATAGCAAAAATCAAATTTCAAGACGATGTGAAAGGAAATAAAGTGCTTGGAAGTTGTTAGAGATGGTGGAACAACATCTTCGGCAGAATAACTGAAACGGATAAAAATACTTAACTACCTATTCTTCTATAAGTCCCAAATAAGTTTTTTACAAGTTTTACACAAATAGGATGTTGGTGAAATTGTGTAGATATTTTTAGTCATGATGCATCTCTTAACGATTTTATGAAGTCGATATTATGGTGACAAGTAGCTAATACTCTCGTGAAATAATAAAAATAGAATGACTTATTGAGAGCAAAATTTAAGTCTGAAACCCCAGATTCTGCGTCATTTTATTAAAAGAAAACTAAAAATTGAAGTATTGTTATGTTCTTGTAGACTATATATCTCAGTTGATAAACCTCTGTGATAAAGAGAATTTTTTTAACAATTTATTGTTTACTGTTAAACAGCATAAATGCAGATAGAATTATATTTCAGGAATATACGCAATGAGAAGAAAGTGTAATAATGATCATCACACTAATTAGCAAAAGTTTTCAAAAATCAAAAGCAATAAATAGATTCACCTCTCTCTATTTAATAATTTCGAATTTCATTTTTCCATAAGAAAGTGTTTTTCTGTTAACAATTGTTTGCTAAATTACATACGACGATAATTATGAAGTTGATGTGCATAAACTAATACACAAAATGTTTTTAGCGGGAAATAATAATGCGTTAAATTAACCGACAGACTAGGCACTTTACATTTATCGATTGAACTTGAAACGAAAATAAGAAGAAAACATTTTGAACAGATCAATTACAGTAAATCGATCGTAATTTCTAACGTTGTTTAAAAAATGCTCAAGTTCTTTCATATTTAGTTATAAAAACTGAAAAACAATCATTTCAGAGTGCAGATTAAAAATATACACGTGCTTTAAAAATCAACACTCGAAGCTTTAAAGAACAAAGATATGATGCAATTTTTACTTAAAAAATAATTTTGTCTGTTTAGTTGCAATTTGAAGATGATTTAAAAGAAAGTCATATTGAAATAACATACCTTAGTGACTTACAAAACACTGGTTACATTGCACGATCTCATCTGGGATACGTACCGCCATTGCATCTTTTTACAGTCGGTAAACAAAATAGGCAGTTGTCAGTGTCAGACTTTCTTGTCATTGTGATGTTTATGTACAGGTTAAGTAACAGATCACAGAACACCACAGAAAATATTCTGACAAGTTCAGACAAGTTTAGAGAAGTTCTAACAAAATGCAATACAGATTCTAATAATTTGTGAAGTTATTCGTTAATTTTTGCTTAATTATGGCTTACGTTAATGTAAAAGACTGGTCAACAGAACAAGTAACTGACTGGCTAAAAGGTAAGGATTCTTAGAAATTCTTCGATTTGGTTTTCCATTGCCCACATTAGATTTTTTGCAACAGTTATGATTTAATTTATAGGTCTAGATAGTTCAGTTGCTCCCTATATTAAATCATTTTTAAACAACGAAGTTAAGGGACACCAGTTACTAAGTTTAAGGTCTGATGATTTAGAGCATTTAGGTGTACTGACTTTGGGGCATCAAGAAATAATTTTAGAAGCCGTTGAGCATCTCAGAAATTTTGTAAGTACATTTTTAGAAAGATCTAAAGCATAATAATCTAATAACTGGTTTTTCTAGCATTATGAACTGGATAGAGAAAATTTACAAATGCTTGCATTAAAACTATCTTGTGCAGCAAATTCCTTAAGTAAATCTTTGCCTATTACTGATGATGATTGTAAAATGGTGCCAACTCAAATAATGTCGGATGTTCATACTGTTATTCAAGCTGCAAAGCCTTTAGTTTGTTGGCTTGATCGGTAAGTTACCATTATTTCATCCTCATATAAAAATAACTGAACATTAATCTGTTTATCAATAAATTATGTTTGTTAATAAACAATTCCAAATGTATTTGCGATGATATTTGAATACCTCTGAACGAATGTGTACGATTGTTTATATTTAATTGCAGATAATATCTTAGTATATTATTTGCTATTAATTATCTTGAGCAAAATTTATTTGTTGGATTTATTTGAAACATGAGCAGTATTTTTGTAATTTAATATTTTCCTATAGTTCTCCATTTTATGGTGATAAAACCTACATGGATATAAAAAGTCAATTGTTACAATTAGCTTTTGAAATGGCAACAAGTGCACATAGAGATATATTTTCAGAAAAGCCTTTGAAAACAATTCGTAACATTTCAGAGTCTTTAGCTCAATTGGCTGACAATATTATACAGGTATATATAAATTTTCTCTTTGTCATCATCTCATATTAAAGATCATAGAAGTAATATAAATTGTACACTTATTTTATACTCCTAAAGTTAATGTATTTCACTTTAAGGATATTTGTGATCCAATGATATTACAGACAGCGTTTCTTGCATTAGCTACTTTGAAAAAGAAAGAACAAGAATTGGGTTTCTTTTTAGTGTCCAGTTGCAATGCTGCACACCAAATTGCAGAAATAAAATATGGCTCACCTGCTCATGTTAGTACTAAGATAGAGGAAGGTGATGAAATTGTTCAGGTATTTTAGTTTTTTATAAAGCACAATGGGTATGTGCAGTTTATTAATATGTATATATATTCATATGGCGCGTATCTTAAATTCATCACCCTGTATATGCTTTCACTTTGAAATTGTTCTTTTATTAAAGAACTTTAGGGAGGAAGTGGCTATCAAGTGATAAAAATTTTTGAACACTTGTTGTTTGACTTGCACAAGCACATTTATATATGTCAGTTGATAAGGACTGTTTGAAATTCATTATGTAAAGAAAGCTACTTGTTTTTCAAAAAAGATTTTTTTAGGTGAATTACCAGACTGTGGTCGGTTGGCAACGCAAAAAAGTGCTTTTAGTTCTTCAAGAGTCACCACCTGAAATAGTGTTGACATTAAAGAAAAGGCCGCGACATACTAAAGTTTACGGTCAAATTTATATGAAACCCTACAGATTGCCTAGCAAGAAAAGGGCTATACCGTATTCTCGGTGGAACGATAATTTGCCATCACCCCAACTTTTAGCGATACATGATTTGCCACCAATACCAATGCCAAGGTAATATTAATAAAAACGACTCAATGTTTACCATGTATATTAAGTTGAAGATTCAATGAAAAACTTAATTATAACGAAACAGTGTGACATTTGCACGAATTGTCAATACTTTTTGTAATTATTATAGACCACCGCCGACAACAGAAAATACTGAATTAGAATTGGAATCAAGTAGTAGCAGTGACAGTGAACCTCTAGATAGTCCCTTGGTTGGAACCGGGAGGGTGTATCCGCTAAAGCCACGTCCTGTTTTACAACGTCGACACACGATAACGGGTGCAAGTCCTATCAGTAAACGACCCTATCAAGCTTTTGAACAAGTAATATACGGTTTGAAATAATAAATAATATAACATCCCTTCATTTTAATTATTTACAGTATTGGCAATTATGGAAAAACCAAGCAAGCTCTTATAATATTGATAGCAATAAATTGGATGAAGAAACGGCTTTCCTGCGAGATAAAAGTGCTTCCTGCAGTTATGGTTTAGAATTAGGTGCTCGACCTTCTACTGTACTTGGTATTTCCCAAAATAAAGATTTAAAGGGTAATTTAAACAATTTCCGAAAATGCTTACAAGAAAAACCGTTTTCATCAAAACGAGTGAATTTCGAAGATAATATGAAAATAATTTATGATGAAACAGATACAAAGAGAAATCAGTTAGGACATGCTAGTCTAGGTACAATGCCAAATAGCGTAAGCGTTACGAGCTTAAGCAGTTTAAGTGAATCACTTGATTTTATCGATGAAAGTGACGATATTACAGACAGAAGCAAAATGAAAAATGAATGGCAAAAGGAGATAGTTGAAGAAATAATCGATAGTATTGGAGAGAGACAAAAAACTATGGATAAAATATATCAGGAAGTTTCAAAACCAAAACAGGACGATTCTTTGGCCGAAGTGCATGTTCATAGTATAATAAAAAAATTCGACCAGAAGTTTTTGCCATCAGAGCCGCCACAGCCTCCTGCAAAACCAAAGATAATGCCACGTAGTCTTCTTGAAAAACCACCTGACGTTCAAAAGAAAGATTGGGTTAAAAAGCCGGCTGTTCCACCTAGAAATATTTCAAATAAAGTGAGAGGTACGCTTAATAAAAGTCATAGTACACCTGCTTATGATTTAACAGAAGAAAGTCCGCAAACGACTAAGTCTGTTGTTGAGCCGAAATTGCCAGATATAACAGAAAAAAATGAAGACAAGCCAGGAAAGCGGGAAAGTTTTTACGACGTTTCCGGTCTTTCAAATACAAATATTAAATATGAATTAGGTATACCTCTAATAGAGCCGAAAAATATTGAAATTACTCCAGGAAAATTAGACGAATCGTCAGCTGAGACTTCGCCAGAAGTAAAACATGAAATTAAGAAAGACGTGCCTCCGAAACCTCCTCCAAGATCTTCAGCTACTACTCTTACTTATAAGCCTCGGTACCCTGATCCGATTGCCCCTAAACCGAGAAAATTGAGCGACAACGCTGATGATAAGAACTGCACATTAGATAAAATGAATAAGGATTATGAAATGCACGGTGCACTTAAGTCTAATCATCAAAATTATTTAAACAGCCAACAATTTTTTCATACACAAGAAATACCTAAAATAGAAATAGATCCACCCCAAAAGACATCACTTACGTCTGAAGTTTCAGTGCCCTTTTCAAAAATTACGGAAACCTCTCCAGTAATTAAAATCGACACGCACAAAACTGATACACACAAGTCACATGATACTAAGGTATCACCAACGAATTCAGTCGTTCGCGCATTTTATTCATCCAAACATAAAGCGAACAAAAAGAAGAATTCTTTAGTAGCCAGTGAGTCTTCAGTTTGTCCAGTACTGTGGAATTTGTTCAATATAATTATTTTATTTTAGAAAGAAGAAAGGTTTCTGTTAAAGATGTCAGTCCTGGTGAATTATCCGGATATCTTTGTCAGAGGTTGCGATCGAAACACAGTCAGAATGTACACTGGGAAAAAAGATGGTTTGTACTAAGCTGTGATAATCTCTACGGTTTTAAAAATAAAGATTCTACAAAAGCAGATTGCTTAATTTTTCTTTCTGATTATACCGTATCCGTTGCTACAGAGGTATGTCACTGGTTGTTTTTGTTATTTATTTTTTAAAAGAATTTTGTATTTAGGTTAAATCCCGGGCCAACGCTTTTAAAGTGTACCATACTGGCACTGTATTTTATTTCTCAGCAGAAAATTCAGAAATGCTCACGATGTGGATGGACGAATTATCTACAGCAACACTACATAATGATCCATGTAAAGATACAGTTCTTGGATTGTACTCAGAAACTGACGATTCAGACTCCGAACAGAAAAATACTGAATTTACTATTTCCAAACCAACTGAATCATTCAAGAAATTTGGGTCACTAAAGAAACTTACTCCCACGAAAACATTTTCAACGTCACAATGTGGTAGCTCCAGTTTAGATAGAAAATGGTTTTTTAATAAATCCAACTCCTCAAATAGAACTCCTCAACCTGTGCCCACTGAACAATTTAGATCGTTTCGTAAGATGTCGTCCACAAGTACGACTGAAAGCGTGTCAACGGGAAATTTTACATCACATGTACCGAATTTTTCTCCAAAATATCAGAATGAGAACGCAGTACAAAGTCAAAACGTAAGTGCTCCAAATCTTATAACGGATACTTTTAAAAGAGGTGATTCTGAAAGAAAGAAACCCGTTATAAAAACAAAGCTCACTAACTATGTTCACGCTAGTAATCCGAATCTCTTCGATATGAGGGATCTTCACATGCTTAATTTTCATAAAATAAATCCTTTTCAACAGAACAATGACAGTTTGGCTGGGTTTGTTACACTAGAAGAATTAATGAATCGACAAAGAGAAGATCAAAAATTAAATCCTACTTTCCACGAGAACATTAATGCAAATCTTATACAACCGGACGTTGTTTATGGAGAAATTTCAATAAGACCAAAGGAAGATTATCATACTGTAGAGAAAAAGAAGGAAGAAGAAAGTGTTGGTATTTTACATGATTCATCAAAAAAAAAGATATCAAGAACAACTTCTGAATCAAGTGACACTGAAGTTCCTAAAGAGAACTTAAAGTGTATTGTGGAATCTCCTAATCAAGCTAATGAAACTACTTCATTCTGCTTTGGTAAACGAGGGTCATTAAAAAAGAGAAAAAGCAAAAAAGAGGCGCATTATTCCGAGGTATACGGAGGTGACGATAGTTTTAAAAGTTCTTGGCCGTCACGAAGTAAAGATTCAAATAAATTTTTATGTGCTGATTCCAGAATGATTCAGTCTGAATTTTCATTTGCCAATAGGAAGCTTTTGAAGAACAAAGAATACTCGGCTTCAGCGACCAATTTAGATCAGTCAAGTATGGAAGCGTTGAATGAATTAGAGAATGCAGGTGTAAAGCTCCCGAAAAGTGAATCTGGAAAGAAATTCAAAAAGGTTGTAAAGCAGCACAGTTTCAATTCTGATAGAAAAGCAGTTACAAAACCTTTTGCAAGTGGTGATTGTCGTGAAAAATTTTGGATCGATTCGTTAAGAAAAACTGATAAAGTTTGTGACAAAAATAGCTCAAAAGTGAAGTTGAAGTCGGCAGTACAGTATACGCCAATGTCTTTACCACTTGCCAGTGATCAAAGAGGAAAATTAAATGCAAAATTTGCTTTTGAATTAAACCTGAATGAAAAAGGTACAAAGGTTGGAAAGAGTAAAGGGTTTTTTTCTAAACAGGCTGATGGAAAGAAAGAAAAGACATTTTTGGGCTCTCCCAAATTGCATAGGGCCGTATTTGGAAAGAATAAGGCAATTGATCATTCACACTCATTTGATTCAGCAGAAGTAAGAATTACACTTTAATCGCTTGAATATTAAACTATTTTCTACCTAATTGATACATGAAAAATTTTTTTAGTTACATTCGACTACATTTTTGGATAACTATGTAATGAAGGAAACTGTAGAAGAGGTTTCTGCTCTTTCATCTCCATCTCACATTTTCCCGTCTGCAGATTATCCTGGTTTAGAATATCCTCCTACTTTTGAGCCAGAAACGTATTCATTAGCCGACCCCAATTCAAATATATCATTGTTGCGAAAACAAGAGAGACTCAAGAAAGAAAAAGATAATGGAACTGCTAATGGTTAATTCCTTCAATAGAATATAGGATTTTTATTTGTAATTATCGACAACAGAAATAGTCAAATACTTAAGTATTAAACAGTCTTATTATAAAGAAAATTTGGGTATGTATGTATACCAAGTTCTAAATACTCTTTTTTTATAAAGAGAATATGAGTATGCATGTGTTTTACTGATACTAATTAATTTCAAAATAATAAATACTAGTGTACAGTGGAATAAAATCAGTATTTTTGCGTTTACTTATCTAAACGTAAAGATTCAGAAAATATGGAAGTGAAGATAAAATAGTAAAACATTGACTTAATCAATCATATTACTAATATTGTATAAAATAATTTACTATAATATCAATTATTACTCTATAATAACAGAGGACTTCCAAGATATACCTGAATGTTAGTTTTTAAATGAAAACTAAATAGGGTTGTGATATTACTTATTATAGTTTAACTTGTTATACAATCTGTCTATGATAATTAAATATGTATAAATAGTACCTTTAAAAACCCGCAGTAAGTGCTTAATAAATTATATGTATAAAACGTACGTAAATAAAGCTATTGCTTTCAGTAATAAATTATTCAATTAAAATTTGAGGAATTATTAGATTATTACAGTCTTTTCATTGTATACTTTATTAGATAAAAAGTAGTGTATAATCTTGCTGGAATAAATACTATGTATTTTATATTTATAATAATTTGTTATTTTAGAGTTTTGTCGTACAAATGTTTAAATTACCTAATTATACAAAACAGGTATCAACTGTTTGAAGAAAGTTATGTAAAGCATTTTATGTATTAGAAACGTTATTTAAGTCTGTTTTTACAAGTATTCAACATTGTATTTATGGTTATTTAAAATAAATAGTTTTCCTAGCAGTCTTAAATTATTGTTACTTGGCAGATTAGCACAACTAAAATGTATAAGATATTCCACAATAATAATAATAATTAATTAATGATTATATTTAATATGATATAAAAATACTTTTCATCGATTTCCAGTGAACCAACAAAATACAATATGAATGTGATATAGAAAATTGCGTGTCTTGAGGAGCGATTAAATGATTCATAAGTATTATAACTGTTATTAGTATTTATTCTTTATTAACACGTTTCGATAATGTAACTTGCCATTATTTTTATTTTTTAATGTTATATATTTTTTAAATTAAGTGCATTATTATATTTGATAATAATAATTATACCATTCAATATAATAAAAAGTTATAAGATGTTAATGTTTCATTTTTTGGCTAAATTTTAAATTGATTTAAATTGTATCGTGTTTAATACCATTAAAAGACAAAGCTGCTATGCTAGAAAAGAATTTTGTAAGTAAATTCAAGTACAGACAGGGTATCGCCATCTAGTGTGTACTTGCTGCTAATGAAATATTTCATGTATTAGGCCCTGATAGGCACACAAACCATATTAATTTAGCAAAAACATTTATTATGTTTTTGGTCAGAAATTTGAGATCTAATAAGGTCTTAAAATTATCTCACAACCATCCCTATATGAGTTGAACACCAGAAACAGTTATTCATTGCAGGGATTAAAATTAATTGTGGTATCCTACCTTACTCAGAAGGTGTGGAAGGTTTTCTAATAAAACAGGAACGGATGTACAATACAGAATTCGCAAGAACTTCTTTAAACATCACAGCATTACACAAAAACATTTACAATTACTTAAAGACACATCACCAAATACTATATCATTTCATGTACAATAACACGATAAAATGGCGGTCAAGTTGTAATAAAACTGTATCCATTTTTTTATACGGTTGAAAGGAATCATAAGTCGTATATACACCCGAAAACCAAAATTAAAAGTGTAAACCGCACATGTTTCATATAATATGCATAGTTAAATCTGCTAATAGCAAACCGAACCTTTAAAATATGAAGCCTATCAGCCACCATCAACAATAGTGCGGTCGTTAAACTAATTTAGTTCATTGTTGCAATAGTAAGTTACCAACTTGTCTAAATGAGCATGCGCAATGATTAAAAATATAATGGTATTTTATTGGTCATGTAATTTTAAATTTTCGGATTTTTATTAAATATTTTGAAACTTAATTACTTTAAATAATTAAACCTGAAGCCACACGTACATATCCATAACGTATAATCAGTTGCTAGATAATTTACTAAATTAATCTTAAGCGCAGAATTTCTGAGATTAAAAATGTTTTCCATTTATAGTTAGATTGTTACTAAAATAAGTAACTTGAGCGAAATTTAGAATTCAAAATCCTACCTTATTTGATGAATCCATTATACTTGTAATAACTTTGGGAAAATGGTAATGTGAGAACCAATGGATAGGAGCAAAGAGGTTTTCTTGAATATACCATATTTCACTCACATACGGTCACTATCACACTTTTATGAACTAGAAATAATACGATTTATAGTTGTTTGATCACACTAATTTTGCAAGCATACAAGTTAAGTAAAGAATGTACATATATACCTACCGAAAAAAAACACACTGTCGCGTATTTCTTTATATTTGAGGTTAAAAACACGTAAGATATAAGACATTTCGAACGAATATACACATGAATAAAATAGATTTCGCGACACTAAAATATATTTTTTCAAAAAAGAAATTTAAAATTGAGTTATATCCGTAATTTAACATGGCGGACGGAGGTAATTGAAGCTTGTTACAAAATGCAATTCATGCAGAACTGCTCGCATGAGCATGCGCAACAAAGCAAAGCCGACTTTACCAAACTACTTTGTTTTTAATTCAAAGACATGTAAACTTATAATTAATACTTAATTTCTATTAACAAAATCTAATTTGTTTAGTTATACATTGAATATAAAAAAGTCAAAACGCGTTGTATCGTTTATAAAATTATGAAAACTGAATGCATCGTGGTATTTTCTTGTTACCACAACGTGTTCAGATTGAATGTTAAAAAAGCAGAAATACTTATAGTAGCAGTAGTTTACAGAAACAACATCAACTATACTATACAGTTTTTTAAAATGGCCCTTCCGCAACCTCTTTCTGGATGTAACTCTAATCCTTTCGAATCTAATTTGTTTGGTATCTGCGATTTTCTCGCGACATAGGAATAGATATCTGTCTTTACTCGAGATGGTATACAATTTTGTTTTTCAGTTAAATAATAGGTAAAATATTCGTTACGGTCCAGGCCCAAGTTGTTGTGATTTGTATGACCCGAGTATGACCTTTAGTAAAAACGATAAAAGTAGACAGTAGGTATTAATTTGACCAAATGCGTTCGGGAATGAATAAGCTTATGAATATATTGTAAGCAGTTTATTAAGTTTCGTTTTAAGTGGAATATTAATAAATCTAGCCCGCGGATTGTGAACTTCATCTATATGAAAGAACATTAATATTTACGTTATGAATTCGGACAGTAAGTGATCACCGATGGTAGAATAGTTTTGGTGGAAAGCGTTTTCTCCTCGGTAAGTTATTTCTATTTATCATTCCTGTTAATAGATATAAGATAACTGATAACTGTTTCACGTTTAATATTGTTGAGTACATGTGGAAATTATAAGAAATTGGTAATAAACTGTTAATAATACAAATGGGAAAATAGGTATAGGTATATTTATATAATTTTATGTGCCTATCATTAATAACTGGCGCATGTTTGGTGGGGTGTCATGTTCCATTTCCAAGAAATAATGAATTTGATTACATACTTATTGTAAGAATGCCGCAGCCGATCTGAAACTTTGTAATTTGTGCGTTACAACTAATATGACCATTTTCAAAATCACGTCGACAATTATAGTGTCACAATAAAACTAATTACAATGAAAAAAATGCCATTTCAATAAATCAAAAAGTAGGAATGGCTAATTATTTTTATCTTTTCAGTGAACATCTATGTTTTAATACACCTAACCTTAATTAAGAATGAAATTGTTAATTAAATTAAGAAGAGACTCAGCTAAATTACCATTGTTTACAAATTGATTACAGCGAACACGTGTTTCGTCCATTTTCTTAATGAGAGGTAGTCTCGCGTTGATAACACCTGCAGGAAGTGGGCGAAACAGGTATCCACCGCAATAAATTTGTAGTGATAATTTGATCTCCTTTTAGTTTAATTAATCATTTTCCACAGTCTCCGATTTCTGCAATGAAATTATTGGCAGATTTTTTTAATATTCATTTTCACCCAAGCGCGGTGGAACAGATTTGTGTTCAGTTTTGATTTTAACTGTGGAAGAAGGGGAAAGAAAAGGAGTGGGGTGAAATTTGGTACATCAAAAGTAATTAATGTACTTACAAAAATGGACAATTTAATGTTTAAAAAATGTCTTATACAAAGTTGCTACTGTTTCTGCGAGAAATTGAATTCGTCTATTAAGTTTTAATGATCACTCCCGTCATAAATATGCAACATCACAATATGATACTGTAATTGTGAAAATTCCGTAAAATAGTTGTTTTAAAAACTCTTAAAGTAATGATTATGTTGTTATAGCTTACAACTATTCAAAAACACAACTGTATAGTGCTATAAATCAATTTAATAATCTTATACAATTTTTTTCATGCCTATTGATACAAACATCCCTTGATTGACTTTCCCATCTCTCATCTCTACCTGAACAACGCCCTTCTCTCCTACTCCCATGTTAAAATCACCTACTGTAATTACATTATTATCTTTAAATTTTCTTTAATTTTGTTTTTTCCTCCTTGATATAACCTATTCTTTAATCCTCCGCTTCATCCCCTCTATCGTTACTACTTCCCTATCCAATTATTCAACATTTATCTCTAAAACATTTTTTTTAAACCCTACAGTAGTCCCTCTCCTAGTCCTACCCAGTTTTTCTGTTCTTACTATCACGGATATAATCCATTTAAAAGTACGATCTACTTTTCTTCTCACATCTATATTATTTTTATTTTCTATCCCCGTTTCACCTAATATTATTATGTCATATCCCCTCAAAAACTCCCAAAAGACCCTGTGTTTATTCCTTGTCCTCCCCAAATTCCAAGCCAACACCTTTACATTCATTTCATCATCATCACAATATGATTCAATCTGATTTGACCCATCGTTGATCGAATGTAATAACTTTTAAGACGTTTTAGTATTGAAAAAATGAATTTCTTAAAAAGGCCCATCATGTAAATTTTTAGCTGTGTGGGAATTGTCTAGGTTGTTTTTCCAGATTAGCTTCCATATGGATGTGAGGAAATTTGAAATTTAATTATTTCAAGTAGTTATATATATAAATTAGCTAATCGTATGCTCAAATGATAGGGTGCCCATTAATAATTGGACATTTGGACGTTAATATATTATTTATTATCTTTTAAAATAGGAACATAAGTAATTTTTACCATTCCTATTTATTTCTTTTTAATGTAATTATGTAATTAATCAATGTTTATTGCAAAATTTGAATTTTAAATAATACAAAAAAGGTTTACTTTCAAAAAAGTTTGCTAATTAATAAATGGAAAGTTGTAACTTTACGTAAATTCTGGGAAATGTATTGGAAAGTTCTTTGCTGCCATTTTATTTTTTTGATTAAATTCATAACAAAGTAAATTCTGTATCATCAATTTCGAAAAGTTGTATATACGCCTTGCTATTACATTGTTTATTAAATAATTTGCTTTAAGAATCCGTGACTTTAATTAACATATTTCGATAAATGTAAGAAAAAATTAGCATTTATCATATCATGCTAAGAGAGGGATTGATTCTACATATAAAATTAGTGCAGTTTGCATATGACCAACGTAATGTGTTCGTTGCTGCGCTAGTAAATGTAATAACCCAGAAAGAATAACGGAAATACCAATTGCAGCAACTATTCGTGACTAACCTTATCTGGGTGCATCATATAGGTGTAGATCAGTACCTACATACACTCAAAATTTATTATACATATATGTTGAGAAAGTAAAATACCATGAACAAGTACTTTCAAACATTTTTTGATGGTCGGGAAATTACATAATAGAATTTAAACTAAAGAAACTTCTGTTGAATCTTTGTGAAGCATTTTTGGTACCTATAACGAAACTAAAAGCTTTTTAAATGTTTTATCAAATCTCTGTAATCATTTAAAATGTGCACTTGTTGATTACTAATAATTTGCTGCGAGATTATTCCTACAAAAGAATGTTTTTAAAAATTAAATTGGTTTGACCTTTATTTGATGAAAATGCATTTTATCGACAAAAAATATAGTTCAAAGGATTTCACTAAACTTTTATTACCTTGCTACATATGCTTCGCCAAAAATAGCTTTATCAGTCGAAAGTAGTCACCATTAAATATTTTTTTTTTTACAAAATCTCTTAAATAGGTGGCAAACGACAGGAGTGAAGAAAATTAGGAGATTATTACACTCCATTTGGTCATTTTTAGGAGATTATTACACTCCATTTGGTCATTTTTAATAGTATAAGTACTTTGTTTTTTAAATTTGTTAATTTTTGGATGTTCTAACAGACTTTATTTGTGCCCTTTACTATTTGCATTTATTAAAATTATCAGTTGATTGAATGACTTGACGTGCATAAATCTTTTTTAAGATTAAGGGCAAGATCCACAATATAATTTATAAACTCGTTAAATTATTTCTTTTAACTTAATCTTTGTTATTTTTTATTTTACTCACAGATGAATTAGTTTTTATTTAAGTTAGCAGTAATATTAAGATCACTAAGAAGGAGTGATATGTATACAAGAAATAGTTAAATCTTTATGATATTACAAAACTGATTCTATTAAAACAATACTTGTCGTACTGTTCAATGTTTAAGAAACACAATAGGCATTTCGGATACATTTCCAACTAGGTATTGTAGATAGTATCTTATCATATCATTGCCACAACCACTTAATTACAACAAAAGTAAAGTACTTGTCAGTTGAAATAATCAGGTAAACAAAAAGCAGACATATACTTTGTATAGACAGGTTTATGTTCTGGCAAAAGTCTCGTTACAAACAATAGGCAAATATGCAAATCGAAATGCAAAAAGGATCGTAAATACGTTAAACAAGTTACCATAAACACTTACCTAGTTGCACATCACGAATTCTTGTAACATTTTCCGGTGTTGAAGGTGTTCATCGTGAAACTAGAAATAATTCAAGTGTGATATTTGTAAATTGTCATATTTATTTCTAATGGCATGAAGTTTTAACAATATTTTTTATTTAATTCTTTTTCACAAGCAGTGTTTTTATTATTTCTATATGTTGCAGTTAATAAAGTGAACCTACGTATTATTTATACTATGTAGCACATTTTATTGCTATTGAGTTACTTTGCATCTGTTTCATCTCGTTAAACCTTTGTCAAGACACAATAATAATGTAGATAAATTTATAAATCAAGATCTTCAAATTTTTAATTCTTCATTAACTCATGTGGTGTTAATAAACTTTTGTTGTCCATTTGTACTTTTTTTATTAATTTTGAAGGATTTTTTAATCTCACATATATCCAAAATATTTCCAGGAGTTTCAATCTTTGGTCATTGGGTTGGATGCGATTCAATCTGCTGGATACATTTGTGATTAAAAAATCTTTCAAACATAATAAAACAATCACGAATAAACAACAAAATTTTGTATATCGACAAAGTATTAAAAATTCTATGGTCTAGGTTTATACATTTACATATACCTCATGTAAAATCTGCTGAAATAAAAACTGTTCAATTTTTGAAACTATCTAGCATTGGTTCAACAAAATATTGCCTTGATAAAGGTTTTCGCGATCATTCGTCTATTAATTTTTAATGATCACTCCCGTCAAAAACATATCATAATAAATATGCAACATCACAATATGATTCTGTAACTGAAAATTCCGTAAAATAGTTGTATTAAACACTCTTACTAATGATTATGTTGAGTTACAGCTTATAACTATTCAAAAACAGAACTGTAGATCAGTGTAAATTAATCTAGTAATTTTATTTAATTTTTCTCATGCCTATTTATACAAACATTCCTTTACTGTCTTTCCCATCTCTAACTAAACAACACCCTTCTTTCCCACTCTCATGTTGAAATCACCTACTGTCATTACGTTATTATTTTTAAATTTTATTTAATTTTCTCTAGCTTTTCACTTTTTTCCCCCTTGAAATAAACGAATGCTATCACCTATTGTTTCTCCCTCCGCTTCAACCCCTCTATCGTTACCACTTCCTTATCTAATTCTTCAACATTTCCCTTCAAAATATTTTTTTTAACCCCTCTCTTAGTCCTACCCAGTTTATGTGTCTTTATTATCTCAGATATAACCCATTTATAATTACGATCTACTTTTCTTCTCACATCTTCATCACGTTTCACCTAATATTATTGATGTCATATCCCCTCAGAAACTGCCAAAAGCTCCTGTGTTTATTCTTTTCCCCCGCCGAGTCCCAAGCCAACATCTTTACATTCTTTTCCTAT